ATTGTCTCAGAATAGACACTTTGGAGGAATTAACCATCTCAACTGAAAAACAAGATTACAAGCCTGTTGCACAACCCCAAAGACATCTTAGTCTGACTATGAAGGAAGTTATTCAAAGAGAGGTACTGAAACCTCCTGAAACAGGTATGATTTATCCAATCTCTGACAGTTGTAAGGTTATTCGCAATGAAAAGAATAAATTCGTTCCCACAAGGACAGTTAAGGGATGGAGAATGCGTATATATCACCTTGATCACTCACCTGCATGAGCCCTAAAGCAAATAGGCGTCAAGCTGAAGACGTTAAACAAGCGCTCCTGGGAGGCAACCCAATGTTTTGAATTTTTTTTGTTCTTTTTGCAGTTTAAGTTTTTTTTTTTTTGCATTTTTCTTCCTTAGGTTCTTTCTTTGCAAGATTGCTCCAGGTACACAATGCACTTCTCCTCAAGACTTTGAAGCCTTACTTCAATGGCCTGGGGACAGTCCAACTTTTCTGGAGGGGGTGAGAAAGTCTGCAGTTGAGGCTAAGGCACAAGATAAGGAATACATGACAAGTGAAGAAAATGAGGGAGGAAACTTACTTTTACTTTTAATGTTTTTAATTCCTTTGTTTTTAATTTAATGTTTTTAATTGCTTTATTTTAAATTTTGAATTCCCTTGTTGTCCCATAATTTGTTTTAGAGCCATATATGAAATTATTGCTTATTGTCTAATTCAAATCTAGAACATGGAAAATAATTTTGATTGTTTCCAATAACAAGTGATTTTTGGATATTGAGTATGATAGTGAAAAGGAATTGATGAGGAAAATTCGGAATTAACTGAATTGGAGAAGATAGCCAAAACCCAGGTGAGCAGAGTACCACAAACAGATAAATTGAGTGTCAACACTTTGTGATGATAACTGATATTGGTTGATTCTTTGATGTGATTACATGTTAGCAAGACTTGAAAATGATAAAGGCATTTTTTCTTTGTAGTAGATATAACCCAAAGCCAAATAGCCAACCATGCATTAATTATAGGACATCCATTGAACCCCTTCGAGCAAAAAAAAAATAATAATATTGTTTCTTAAATAGAACCCTTAAGCCTAAACATTATTTATCTACCTTCCTATATTTGAGAAAGGAAATGAGTATGAATGTCACTATTTTTCTTATTGTTGGGTATTGCTATTGTTGTCCTACAGGTATTGTTAGGGTGTTATTTTTTTTAAAAAAAAAAGGGTAAAGATAAAGGAAAAGCAAAGCTTAAAAATTTGCAAAGCCAAAAAAAGGATACATGCAAAAAAAAAAAAAAGTCAAAAGGGGGGTAATAACTTGTGAGATTATTAACTCATTGTCATTGTGTTAGGGACAAAAGCATAAAGTTTGAAACCTGACTTGAGAAATTGTTAATCAAGAATCATTCATATGAGTTGAATTTCTCAAATATTTTTGTATATCTCAGAAAAACCAATAATTCTTTCTTAGCCCAGCCCCATTACAAACCTCAAAAAACCTTTTGATTTAAGTCTTGTTTAACAATTGTTGATTGCTTGAAGATGATTATCAATATTGGATTGTCTAAATGAAGTGATTGAATGAGATAAACACTTACCTGTGAGAATTAGAGATGAGTATATATAACTCTATTTGAGAGATCATGCTTCTCTGAGGATAGTTGAGGACTAATTATTCTTTGTTGGTTTCTATAACTTGAATGCTTATGTGTTCTATTTTCATTTGGAGTTGTGAGCATCACCTCTGAAAATTTTTATGTTGTGGTTCTAGAAGAGAAAAAGATAATAGGTGATGATTTTGTTTTGGAAAAATTACTTTGCTTGGGACAAGCAAGATTCTAGGTTGGGGGGAGTTGTTAAGTGGTAAAAAGTTGATATAATTATGCCTTGAATTGTTATGAAACCACTTAACTTATGTTAATTCTAATATATTTTTCTCCCAATATATGATGGATTCGAGAATACCTTGATACAAAAGGAAGGAGCATAATTGTCAGCATAATTAGCGTAAAATTGAAAGAAAGAAGAGCGCTTAAGCGAATAAATGATGCGAGGCCTGACCCAAATTCTCTTATAAAAAGATAAGTTGTGTTTTGAGAAAAGCAAGCAGTCTTGGAGAGGAGGATGCACGACTACTGTTAGGGTTTTATCCAATCTTCATCAATTTTACTTCATCAATTGGAGCATTGTAATGGCCAACATGAGTGGCTAACTTCATTCTCTTAGGATTCGGTGCACTTCCTTTGAACTCTTTTGTATCATGGTGATATTTTGATATATTAATCTATGCTTTGATGTTGTTATTCTTATCCTTTATGCTTTGGAATGATTTATTCTTGATTGTTTGAGGTATGATTGGAAAATATATCTTGAACCCTAGATCACGGTAAGAATATTTGTTACGTTAATTGCCAGGAATGGAATAAATGTATCAATTGCTTAACACCCTAACCCTAATGCTGGGAAATCTGTTAATTGTGTGAGGAATCAACATTTATTAGGTTTTCTTATTAATTTCATGTGTGAGGAATCAACATGGATGATTTGAGTAGGTGACATCAACATTGTTAGGTTAATTGACGTTCTTAATTGACATAGCCATTACAAAAGAGGGATAAGGAAGGAAACCAATCCTAAGTACCTTTAATTGATATTTTCTCAACAATTTACAGTTCTTTGTCATTTAATTTCAATTCAACTCTTATTTGCAAAACCTAATCTGTTTTAATCTACTTAGTAAGCATAATTGGGAATTTCCATTGAAACCGTTCTTTGTGGGATCGACTTTTATTTAATCGAAATACTATACTGCGATTGATAATTTGGTACGCTTGCCAATAATTCAACAGTATTGTAGTTAATTCAAGTAAAAGTTATTAGTTAGTTTTTATACTCGATCTTGTATTAATCTTTTTTAATATAATAGGAGTATTATTTTCTCTATTTTGATTTTTTTTAAGGTTGACATTTATGAGAAAGATGAAGCCCAACTAAGAAAAAATATTACAAGGTTCGATGTTTTTTCATCAGTGTGTGGATCTTTTTAATTTTGAGAAGATCTCCAGTTCCGGTTCATCCAAAGAGTCTTAGGACATTCTATAGAAAATATATGGAGGTGTTGAGAAGACCAAAATTAAGTTGTGGAGAATCAATTATAGATAAGAATTTGGGTAGAGACAATTTGAAAACTTTTTCTTCTAAATTTGATTACATTGTGGTTGCAATTAAAGAGTTTAAAGACAATGAAAAGGTGAAGAGTTTCAAGGTTATTTGTAGGCTCATGAGCTAAGATTGTGGACTATTAAGAAATGCTAGAAAAGTTGTTGAAGAATAAACATTACAAGCTCAAATTTTAAAGAAGTGGGGTGCAAATAATGAAAAGTTGAGGAAAGGTAACAATAATGGTAGATTCAATAAAAAGGAGTAAAGAGATATCCAATAATAATGATAAATCGAAGTGCTCAAATAGACGTAGTAGAGGAGGATATAATTAAGGTTGAGATGAAAAGAAAAGTCAATATAAAATAAATATTCAATGTTATAATTGTAAGAAATGAGAATATTATCCATGTTAGTGTGAAAAAGGAAAGAAAAAAGAGCAAGAATGATGATAAATGTGAGAATGTAAGAAGAGAAGTCCCATATAAGGGAAATTATATGTTGGTACTTACTTTTCTTGTTATAAAAGAAGCATATTGTTTACTTTGTAAATCACCCGAAATCTCTTCCTTCTCCTTTCTACTAGTGCATTGCATAGTAGTTGAGTTCTCTTATTTCTGAGAGAGAATATTATTATTGTTTTCTCCTTAGATTTAAAGAGGGTATTGTAATTTATTTCAGTAGTAAAATTTTATTATGGCCTATTGTCTATTTTGTTTGTATTTTCTCATCTTTTATTTCAGTTGAGTTCTAATGCAGTTACTCTAATTCCTAACAATGATATCAGAACTGATGATTTATCCAGTGACTGACTCGGTTGAGTATAATAGGTGAAAGATCCTTGTGTTGAAAGCCTTCCTAACAAGGGTCTCAGACAAATGAGTCATGTTAAGTTGAATGACAGTACAAGTAAGGTCATTACTAGGTACTCATGGCTAAAAAATGCTTCCGCTTGAGGGGGAGGTATACCAATGTGAAAGGGAATCACACTTGAGGGAGAAATGTTGAGAATTAAAGTGCGAGTTTGAAGTCTCACATTGGGTAGAAATGAGAAACTTGAATAACTTATAAGTGAGAAAAACCCATAACCTAATGTCTTAAGGTTTTGAGTTAAAGGTGGTGTCATATTCTCTTATATGGTTGGCTCATGACCCATTTGTGAGAATCTACCTACTGGCTCCCTCGAAAATACCCAACAGTGGTATCAGAGCCACTAGGTTGGTTTCTTATTTATGATATTATTCCGCTGCTATAGTCATCAGAATAGTGTTGGAGAAAATTCTTAGTATGCTCTGTGGTTGCGGTTAATCTAATCTTTCACATCATAAAAGAGTTATTCTAGTTACTGGATATAAAGTGTGGTAGTGTGACAGTACATGTCTAAGAAAAGTTCTGGCAAAGAAAGACTTGGTATTTAAGTGTGTCTATTAGTACCTACCTCTCTTTCTTGGGAGCTTACCTGATGAGGTCAATGTCTTACAACAATTGTAATTGACAAATCAAAGTCAGATGAGGTTTAGTCATTTAAACTTCAATAGTCTAAAAACAATTAGACAAAGTGAGATGTGTTAGCAATCTTTAAAAATTTAAAAGCTATAATTGAGAAGCAAAGTGAGATGGCTTTGGAGATACTTATGACAAAAGAATGTTGAGAGTATGTTTCCAATGAGTTTAAATCCTATAGAGTAGAAAATAGTATTCAACATGAAGTCATGTACCCCACAACACAATGGCTTGGCAAGAAGGAATAGTTCTTGACATGGAAAGAAGTACACTATAAGAAAAATTAGATTTTTCGACGGACAAAATTCGTCGATAATGCTCAAATTAAGAGAATTGTCACTGACAGGATTCAAACCTTGTACCTTAGAATTGGAGACTGATACTCTAACCACTAAGCTACTACAATTTTTTTATAATAATTTACAAATAAATTATATCTATATACAAATAAATGTATATCTCTGTAAATATATAAACATAAAATATATAAATACAAATATATTTATATATTTTAAATATTTACCGATGGATATATCCATCAGTAACTAATTGTTAATTTACCGACGGATATATCCGTCAGAAACTAATTGTTAATTTACTAATCGATATATCCGTCGGTAAGACCAAATTCCACAACACATAATTAATTGTTCATTTACTAACGGAAATATCCATCGGTAATCACTCATTTTTCGACGGCTAAATATCCATCGGTAAAAAATGATTTTCTTGTAGTGGTATGATAAAGTAAAAGAAGCTATCCCACTCATTTTGGGGGAAATAGTTTCTCCTGTAGTTTATGTGTTAAACAAGTGCCCCACAAAAAGTTGAAGGATAAGATTCCAAAAAAGTTTGGTTTTGCAGAAAATCAACCATGAATCATCTTAGAATTTTGGGTTCATTATGTTTTAAATATGTCTTACATGTTAAATAGAGGAAACTACTAGACAAAAGTGAGCATTTGATCCTAGTAGAATATCATTCAATAAAAGACTATATAGACTTTATGATTTAACAACTAAAATAATATCAACATAGATGTGATTGTGATTGAAGTAAAATCACGAGAGTGGATAACTCAGCAATAGTCTCAAATCTAGTATTATTCCAATGTTGAAAAATTAATAATAATTATAATCCCTTAAGAAAACAAGGTCAACCTTAGCAGAATAAAAACTCTCTAGAATTTATAAACTATCAATTATAACTGAAGGTTTTGGTTTAGATACACGACATGTCATTTAAGGATTAGAACCTGAAGCTTAAAAGGCTACTGTGTGTGAACTGACGACAACAACCAACATAATGCAAAAGACAATCACCTCATTGGAATCCCACTAAGGATGAACACCTCCCTAGAATCCCACTAGGGATGAAACATAGATAGTTCTGACTCTCTTTAACACACTGCTCAAGAAACAGTGCAACCACCTAAAACCTAAAAGAGGATTTAATAATAATCACTCAAACCCTAAACAGGGAATTTAACATCAACTTCCCTTAAATCCCCAGAGGATAAAGACAATAAAATAAAAACAGTTTCCTAAGATCCTCTGTATTGGGAACTTCCCAAACATCACCACCAATTCCAAACCCATCCATATCCACCATGAAAAGAAAGTCAAAACAAAACCCAGAAAAAAATAAATAAACAAAAACAAAAGATTCAAAGAGAACAGAGAACCCAATACAAGAAAGATTGAAACTTGAAATACTATTTCTTTCTCAGTAAAACTTGAAACTTAAATCGAAACAAAAGAGAAAAAATGAAGAAAAAGAAGAATTCATAGCTTCCTCCACGGTTCCATTAATGAGCAGAAGCAGATTGGGGATGTTACCCCCAAATTTAAATTTTAGCGTTCACGAAAATTGGATATTATTCTCCACTTAGGGTTCATAAAATTGAGTAATTTGAATTGTTTAAAACAAAAGTAATCATAATTTTCATAATTAGGGTTTTATAAATTAAACAGACATGAATCAAATATGGGCGACTCTAATACCAATTGTTGAAAAATTAATAATAATTATAATCCTAATTTTGATTCTAACTATCAAATATAAACAGATTGGGGATGTTACCCCCAAATTTAAATTTTAGGGTTCATGAAAAATTGAAGATTATTCTCCACTTAGGGTTCATAAAAATTGGGTAATTTGAATTGTTTAAAACAAAATTAATCCTAATTTTCATAATTAGGGTTTTATAAATTAAACAAACATGAATCAAGTATGGACGACTCTGATATCAATTGTTGAAAAATTAATAATAATTATAATCCTGATTTTGATTCTAACTATCAAATATAAACATTATCTCATACTCATAAACATATTGTAAACTGAATACGAAAACATACATGAATTAGTCATAATGATGATATCTTTGTAGAACACTATTGATCTTACGGTCTTCCACCTGAAGAACACCTGTATTTCCCTCTGGATTTTCTCTCTTGATGGGGATAGAAAGAAAAGAACAAGACTGAGACTTACGTTCTGTGTGTGTGCTCCCAGAAGAGGACCATGACCCTTTAAATAACCAGAATTAGGTTAATTATTTAAGTTTTAGTATTTTCAATTTGACCCCTCATCAAATTAGAAATTGTTCTATGGTCTCTACATAATTTTATTTTCATGACATATGCCTTTAGCAAAAACTTTAATTTAGTCAGATCATTTTATTATTTGACTTAATAAATAATGACCCTAACACATTTAAATTATGTATCATATATATACATGACCTAATATTTGCCAACACCTCATTTATGGATTCTATTACTCCACTTTTTCTCTCATACTACTTTAGTTTGATACATCTCAACTCATTATACGAGAAAGTGAAACAAAAAAAAATAGCTCATAAGTGACTTTTTCAGGGTCAAACACAATTTTATATTAGCTAGCAATGAGAATATTGTTTCCAAAGCCTATTTACAAGTCACGGTTAAGTAGACAAATTTCTGAAATTACTCGAGGAACAAGGGAATCACAACAGCAAAATTGAAATAGGATTCTAGGCTTGGACATACGGATAAAAGTAAACTTTAAATTTTATTCTTAAACAACTTCACTTTCTACCTACATCACATGAAATAGGAGTCTATTAATTTGGTAGTATCTATAGTAATATAAAATAAATGACACTCTCTTAACATAAAGAATTTGAATAATCAAATGAAATAGGATAGTAAATGTTCCGTAAACCATTTTAAAAACTGTTTCTTTAGGATAAAGTTGTATTTGTATATTATAATCTTACCACTTTTCAAATAGATATGAAACTTCTTATAGACAACACACCATTAGACCAATTTTGTTAAAGATATAATTCATGGTTGAGATGAACAACATTCAGGATAAATGATGAAAGAGAGATTTACGTAAAATAAAAATAAAAAATAAAGAAATTATTTATTTTTATAAAATTATATAATAAATTTTAAAATTTATTTCATATTAATTTTATAAATAAATTAAAATTAATATTTATTTTATTTTAATTAAAGTGTAATATATGATTGTAAAATATTATGTTCCCTATTTGTTTTATTTATGAGTTACGTTTAAAAATATAAATACATATTAAATGAATTTTCAGTATATTATAACATATTAAATGGTATTTTATTAATAATCAACGATAATGATAGAGCTAAAACATTTTATTTGAGATATCAAAATACAAAATTTAATTTATAAACACGAAGTTAATCTTAGTCTATAATTATTTTTTAATTTGATTTAGTATTAATGAAAGGTTTAATAAAATCCCTATTTATTTAAAAAACATGCACTAGTACAAAATAGGCTTTTAACATCGGTTTCAGGGGCTTTTAACATCGGTTCTAGAACCGATGTAGATACTGACCGATGTAGAAAGTCTAATATTTTTATTTATTTATATATTTTTATTTATTTTATTTATTCATAACCCTCTCTAATTACCCTATCTCTCCCTTTTATATTATATTTTTACTATTTATATTTTTTAGGAATTTGAATTATTATTAGATTAAGAGAATTGTCACTGGCAAGATTCGAACCCAGTACCTTAGAGTCGAGGTCGATACTCCAACCACTAAGCTACCAGGATTTTCGATAATAACTTATACATAAATTATATTTATATACAAATAAAAATGTATATCCATGTAAATATATAAATATAAAATATATAAATACAAATACAAATATATTTATATATTTATATGTTGGATGTGAGGATGCGCTTGAGGATGAAAGTGTGTGTCGAGTGAATTTTCAAAATTTGATGTCAAATTTGTGAGCGGGTCTCTTTATATGGATTATAACTTAATGACAAAATATAATCTTTATAATTTATTTATATAATGATATAAAATAATTTTTTTCTTTATTTTATATCATTATATAAATTAATTATAAAGATTATATTCTATATTATTATAAATAAATTATAAAGATTATATTCTATCATTAAATTACAAATTCATATAAAGATACTTGCTCACAAATTTGACATCAAATTTTGAAAACCCACTTGACACACACTTTCACTCTCGAGCGCGCTCTCACATCCAACATATAAATATATAAATATATTTGTATTTGTATTTATATATTTTATATTTATATATTTACATGGATATACATTTTTATTTGTATATAAATATAATTTATGTATAAGTTATTATCGAAAAACCCTGGTAGCTTAGTGGTTGGAGTATTAGCCTTCGATTCTAAGGTACTGTGTTTGAATCTTGCCAGTGACAATTCTTTTAATTTTATAAAAAGACTTTCTACATCGGTTCATCTGGGAACCGATGTAGAAAGTGTTTTTTACATCGGTTCGTCTGGGAACCGATGTAAAAAGTGTTTTCTACATCGGTTCGTCTGGGAACCAATGTTGAAAGTCTTGAATTCACTTTCTACATCGGTTCTTAAAGAACCGATGTAGAAAGGCCGATGTTAAAAGTGATTTCTGTACTAGTGATGTAAGAACTTTTTGTTGGAAAATTAATAAGAACTATAATCCTGATTTTGATTTTAACGATCAAACATAAACGTAATCACATACTCATAAACATGTTGTAAACTGAATGCGAAAGCTTACCTGAATTAGCCATAATGATGATATCCTTTTTTTGGAGCACTATATTGGTCTTATGGTCTTCCACCTGAAGAACACCTGTATTTCTCTCTTGATTTTCTCTCTTGATGGGGATAGAAAGAAAGGAACGGGAGAGTAACTTACGTTCTGTCTACGTACTTCCAGAAGGGGACCATGACCCCTTAAAATAACCAGAATTAGGTTAATTACTTAAGTTTCAGTATTTCTAATTTGACCCCTCATCAAATTAGAAATTGCTCTATGGTCTCTACACAATTTTATTTTCATGACATATGCCTTTAGCCAAA